GGAATACATTTAGAGAAATCTTGCTTTCATCAGTAGGATACAGAGTGGGTTGTTGAGATATAAACATAGAGCATTGCATAAGAAATCCCTTGGAGTGCATCAGTGTACCCTCAACATTTTTAGGAAAGGTGAGTCATGGGTTAGTATTCACGGAGCTTTGAGACAGCATGGTTGGTACCTGGCTTGAAAAAGATGTTGACGGAATGGGATCTGATGTGGGCTGGCACAGATTCTGAAGAGATTTCCCCAACTCCTCAGTTACCATGGTGAATCTGGCTAGTTGTTGGTGGTGAGATGCCAATTAGTTCCCTTGGGCAGACAGTTCATTGGACAGATGCATGAGGACCGCTGGATCTGTCGGTGGCTAAAGTTACCACAGTCCCAGTACAGTGGCTGAACGAATGGGCATACAAACATAAGTACTGAGTCTGGCGTCAGGCTCCTCCTGGAGAAAAAGTATGCTATTTGCATTGCTTGTTGAGGGGGAATGGCACTGCAAGTGAGACACAAAGATGGTCTTCCCGCCATTTACCTGCTTGTACCCAACACACTGGAAGAAACCAACTCAACCCAGAGACTGAAGAATGGTGACTAAAGGTTTAGGTGTTGCCCAGGCTTCAGCTCCGCAGGTGTCTTCTAGAAAGGAGTCACGCACCAACGCCCAGGATGTCGCAACACTCAAATTAGAGTGAGCTCTCACTCGTAGGGGGCATGGCTCACCTTGTGTCTGGTATGCCAAGGTGATGGCATCCACTATCCAGTGGGCCAACCTCTGTCTGGAGACAGCCTTTCCCTACTGCTGACCTCCAAGGCAGACAAGAGCTGGTCAGAGCTCCTGAAGCTCCGTATGTGGTCTATGTAAATGTGCAAAGCACAGATGGGACACAGCAAAGCAAGGGCTGGGTCTGCCTCCTAGGGGGAATTGCTGCACTTATTTTTGCAGAGCACCGGCCAAATACAGCTGAATGTGCCATCAAAATTACCAGCAATAAGAGAGCTTCCACTTTTCTTTTAAAGGTGAATAGAAGAGTAATCACACAAATACTGGTAACCACTTGGCTCCAAAGCAAAAATACGAATGAGTGGATGCACACCAAAATATTATAAACCCTTTTTATGCTATTCAGAGGTGATTGGGACTCCCAAGTGAGACCACATATGTAACGTTGAATGTGACTGACTTGAAGGGAACTTGCCGTTATGGTAATGGGCGTGACATTTCCGGAAAGACCCTCTAAATGGTTTACCAATCACAACGGCCTGGGCCAGCTAACCTATCAGAGCCCTTTTTGTGTTTCAGAAGGAGGGGTTTCATCAATAAAGGGACTAAACAGGGCGTTTGAGACAGACTGGGAAGAAAGGTGCGACAATAATATTAATTTATGTGGAAAATAATGAGTTTTTGGAACAATCAAGCATGAAAACAAATTCTATTATACCACAAAAACCAAATCAAGACTATTATTATACAAAAGTCAGGCTAAATGTTTTATTTATTGAAGATTTATTTGACTTGGGTAAAAAAAAATAAAAAATAACTAATAGAATCCTATCTCACTGGTAGGTCTTTCAGGGTGGCCTGGGGTGGGGAGGTATCCAAAGTAAATCAACTGGTCACTGGGGTTCCACAGGGATCAGTTCTTGGACCCCTCCTCTTCTCCATATACACTACATCGCAGGGTCCCATCATACAGGCACATGGTTTCTCATACCATTGCTATGCTGATGACACACAGCTCTATCTTTCTCAACCAGATGATCCAACGGTAGCTTCACGGATCTCAGACATCTCGGCATGGATGAAAGAACATCACCTACAGCTCAACCTGGCAAAGACTGAGCTCCTTGTCTTCCCTGCAGCATGACTACAGCATGACTTCACCATCCAGTTATGCCGAGTTCACATTGCACGATTTTAGCCCGATTTTTCACTCGCCGACAGGTTTTGCGAAATCGCCGACAAATGCCCGAAATCGGAGGCAAATCGGTGCTCGTTCACGCGAGTGACAATCACGCAGTGTGAATTATCAAAGACGCGATCTGAGGGAATCGCTGACACGTCTCTGACGCCCGCAAAATATTTGGCATGCTAAATATCTGGAGCTGTCGGCGATTCACAATCATGCTGTGTGCAATGATTTCTGACTGAAAACTACATCGGCAATGACCTACAGCCAATGAGAGACCAAGATACAGGGCAGAGGGAAGTTCGGGGAGGAGTTATAGACCAGAATATCAGTATTTTAATAGATATATGAACAATTATATCATACAGAAACAAGCACAAACATTTTTTTAAAGTGAAGTGAGTACAAACATTTTTTTAAAGTGAAGTGAGTGACATGACATGACATGTGGCCAAGTATGGTTACCCATACTAGGAATTAGTGCTCTGCATTTAACCCATTCTAAGTGCACACACACAGCAGTGAACACACACCCGGAGCAGTGGGCAGCCATTTATGCTGTGGCACCCGGGGAGCAGTTGGGGGTTCGGTGCTCAAGGGCACCTCAGTCATGGTATTGAAGGTGGAAGAGAGCGCTGTACATTCACTCCCCCCACCGACAATTCCTGCCGGACCTGAGACTCGAACTCACAACCTTTGGGTTACAAGTCCGACTCTCTAACCATTAGGCCACGACTTCCCACAAACATTTGCTTGACCAGCCACAACATCAGCATAAATGACTTAACTGCCACACCTGACACTTTCATCTGGCCCACATACCGCGTGGAATGATGGCAATTGGGCGGTCCGCTCCTGTTTGCCAGATTTGGGCCGCAAGCAAGCGAAAAGAAGGCCCAATGTCAGCCATGAATAAGCCAAATAAAGCAGAACTGGCCCAAATCTGGGCCACATTGATATTAATTCTGGCCCAGATCCAACACCTTACTCCGGCCCACATACTGTGAAGAATGATGGCACTTGGGCGGTCCGCTCCTGTTTGCAAAATTTGGGCCACAAGCAAGCCATAGGAAGGCCGCATGTAAGCTATGACAATAAATAAATAAAAGAAAGTAGAACTGGCCCAAATCTGGGTCACTTTTATTTAAATTCTGGCCCAGATCCAACACCTTGCTCCGGCCCACATACTGCGTGGAATAATGGCATTTGGCCAGCCCGGTTCGGTTTGCCAGATTTGGGCCTCAAGTAAGCCTTAGCATTGCTGCATGTAAGCCAACCAAATAAACCAAAACTGGCCCTAATGTGGGCCACAGTTGATTTTTACTCTAACCCTGGTCTTCCCCACATTCCTCGTGTGGCCCACATGCTGCATGGAATGGTGGCATTTTGGCAGTGGTCCACAAGCAGACCAACAGCCACATTTTAGCTAATAATGAACCAAATAAACCATAAATATACATTATCTGGGCCACACTAAGCCTTAAGTGAGTTATGCATCAACAATACTCAACATTGTAAAGAGAAATTTAAAAATCCATAAATGTTCAAATAAGTTCCAGAAATGTGTCCTACTTGATAAAATCATTCCGACCCAAGTTTTGCACAAGCAGCAATTAAAATGTCACAGATAAATATTCAAAGACACATACCAATACTTTAAAAACTGTTCTTTACAAGTTTGAACTTAAATGCTTCTCACTCAGATTCTACCTACACAGTAAGTCTGTGAGTGTCATAGCTATGCTGTGTTAAAGAGCACACGACAAAGATGAAAGGTTATATATCATAAGTCTTTAATCTAACAAGGGTAAATCCAAACACAATATAGCACAGCAACATTCAAGACATGTAGATGTAAGACCAGACAAACTCAAAGTGAACATACAGTAACTTAAGTACTCAGACCAAACAAGGATAATTAACTAGGCACACCTGAACAGAATAATACAATCAACACAACAAGGGAAATGGTGCAAAATTAACAGAAACCGTGACAGTAAGATTACAATCATTATAGTGCACTTCTGTTTTATGCTGCACAGTACATATATATATAAAACTGCCATTAAAAGCATGTTTCAAAAAATTAATTGCTGCGTATGTATCCTCCTTAAGACTCACATCCAGATCACCCTGCATCAGTTAACTGTGTTGCATCCTACTAAAAGTAGCCAAATTCTATTAGGCCATATTTACAATTTCAAGCTTCCATTTCAAATAACCAGTGTCAAGTGTTACATCCAAGAAGTGGCCTCACTTGTCAAGTGTTACAACCAGAAGTGGTCCTCATCTGTTTTATAATATATGGGGCATATTTGCCATGTCAAATGTGGGACAAGTTGGCTTACACACTGATTAGCCAATGCTGACTGTGCCGTATATTTGCCAAAAGTGGCCCAAATAGTTAATTATTTGGGCAATATTTGTCTTTTTATATGCGGGCCACATTTGCAGCATCATATAAGGGCCACTTTAGGCTCACAGCCACATTAGCCAGTGTTCACTGTGCCATATCTTTGCCAAAACTGGCCCAGATACGTTTTAATATACCTGGGCCACATTTGCTGAAACATATGTGGACCACATTTGGTTTACACCCTGATTAGCCTTTGTTGATTGTGCCACATTTTTGCCAAAGGTGGACCACATTTGGTTGGCACTATTTGGGCCATATTCACTATTTACCACATGGGCTACCTTAGGGTCACATTCAGATTACACATTGCCGTGAACACCCCATCTTTGCCTACAGAGGCCCACATGTGATTTGATAAATTTGGGCCATTTTTGCTATTTTACATGTGGTCCACTTCAGACTTACATCCATTTTGTACGGACCATAAGAAGGCCACCAGTGCTGTATCATTGCCTTAAGTGGCCCACATCCGCATGCTATCTGGGTACCCTGCAAACAAGCAGAGCTGTACATGTGAACCGGTGGATAGATAAGAAGATAATTCATTATAAAAATCTAAACAGTAAAATGTGTATATATGTTATTTTAAAAAATATTTTTGAGGTTTATATTTCAGTTTAAAAATCCTGCAACAACCCTGTCAAACATTATGGACAGAATCTCTCTATTGTGATTCATCAACACAGTTTCACTGATGATTTATAACCAACCCAAAACCCAGGATAGAACGGCTGAGTGAATGTGGTCTGGACTGTGTGGATGAGGCTCATTGTGTCAGAGACGCTGTAGAAAGACAGAGTTCCTGCACTGTGATCCACAAACACTCCTATTCTCCTGCTGATGGGCTTTACAGGGAGATCAGTCTCTATCTTATTGTGTTTGAATGAGTAGCTGTCAGGAGTGCAGTACAAACTCCAGGACTGATCATTAGATCCAAACCAACATTTACCACCCTCTCCCTTCCTGCTGATGCTCTTATATGACACTGATATTAACACATTATCTCCACTCCACTCAATCTCCCAGTAACAGCGTCCACACACACTCTCTCTACACAACACCTGAGGCCAAAGATCAAATCTGTCTGGATGATCAGGATATGGCTGGACTTCGCCAGTGAATGTAATCACTCTGTTGCTCTTAGACAGACAGAGGCGTTGATTCGCTGTGTTCAGATCCAGAGTGAACTGATGGGAATCTGATGGAGATAAAACACATCAGAATCAGGAATCATGAATCAATTCATAAATCAGACACACAAACACGTGATCTTGTGTCTTGAGTCGTGAAGACTATAAAATCACTAAATATACTATTGTCCAAACCTGCACAACCTAAACCTACCTGCCACAGAACACATTCTGATACATATCTATTTATTCTCTTATATATCTTATATGTATGTTTTACCATTCTTATATATAACATTTTTATATAAGAATATTTTATCATTGTTATATATATAAAAAATGTTAAAATGCTCTGAACTCTCACTACACACCGGCTAAATGGGGAGGACTGATCTGGTCTCTTAGCAACAGTGACAGCAGCTGTTGCCGAGCAACAGTAAGGACTGTACTGGACTGTGTCAAACTGATGTTCAACCGTCTGATGCGTTTATGTACATCATGAACCAATATAAACTGTCTGTAAAATCACGTCACAGATCGACCACTTTAAAGTTTAAAACTGCAGTGTGAGGAATTATGAATTATGATCTTTTCATGTAGCTGAACTCTTCATGTTGGGTGTATCATCAGTGTCTCAGTACAGATGAGCAGATATCTGTGCAAATCATCATTTACATCATCAGTTATAAAACTCTTCTTTCACCTTCTACAGAAGAACATGAACACAATCAGTGAGTTTTTCTGCTGGTTTTCTTACTGACTTACATTGTAGGAAGTCGTTCCTGGTTCTGGGAACAATGTTGGTGAATGTGACTGTGGAAATCAACAGACATGAACAGTGTGATTCTCATGATCCTGCATCCATTTCTAAGACATTTCTAATATGTTCTACATATTTGACATGATATGAGCTGATGATGGACTGGTTTCTGAGAGCAGATGAATCTCCAGGACTTTACCTCTGTCTGAGATCTTCTTGAGCTCCTCTTTGCAGAAATCCTCCAGTTTGTCTCTCAGCTGACAGACAGATTTTCTCAGGCCATCAAAAGAGACGAGAGAACTGAAAGACATATTGGGTGTGTCCGTAGATTCAGGAGGTGCTGAGAGGGACTGGAAACTCTACAGAAAAAATAAATCAAAACTCATCAGCTCCACACTTCACCCAACAGCCTGCACTATGATTCTGGCTCTCAATGACTTATTTTTAGTAACTCATCTCAATCCAGCACTTTCATAGCATCAGCTACATTCTTGCGGACAGCTTTAGATATGGCTTTGGATGCGACTAGCTCAGGGAGTCCTGTACATTGTTCGGTTCCGGTTACAGAGCCTCCGCAGCAGGGCAACTGAATGACTGTGAGGCACCATAGTCGCGGGTCAAAACACCGCTCTTACGTTCCGATCAAAACATCAGACAGGTTATCCCCACTCAGTGACGCACCCACTGAGAAACCTAATCAAAGTGCTCAAGTTATTGGTGATTCTATCGTACGGAGCGTGAAAATAGAGACCCCAGCCACCATAGTCCAATGTTTACCAGGAGCCAGAGCGCCTGACATCTTGGCAAGTTTAAAAGTGCTGGCTAATGCTAAACGTAAATTCAGTAAGATTGTTATTCACGCTGGCACTAATGATGTTCAACTTCGCCAGTCGGAGATCACTAAAAATAACATTAAAGAGGTGTGTGAACTTGCAAGCACGATGTCAGACACTGTAATATGCTCCGGTCCCCTCCCTGCGTACCGTGGTGACGAGATACACAGCAGACTGTCGTCACTCAATGGCTGGATGTCTAAGTGGTGCCCGCAGAATAACATAGGTTTCATAGACAATTGGAGGAGATTTTGGGGCAGACCTGACGAACTAGAAAATACAAAAAACGTCCAAACCAATTTAAGAGTTTTTGGAAACTAAGATGGCGCCTGTGAGTGTGGCATGCCGTCTATCGCTCCTTACTACGTCCTGTATTTGGTTGACTTTATACCATACCCTCCAACTATGCCGAGTCTTTCGTTTATGATCGTCAGACACTCCTGGACATTCGCAATTGCTGCGTAGATGTCTACATAACACACAATGTACTTGTTTCATTCTTATTCCAATCTGACTTTGCTGCAGCATGGAATTGAACTGCTGGTTCGTCTGGTCAGAGGAGAACTGGCCCCCGACTGAGCCTGGTTTCTCCCAAGGTTTTTTCTCCATTCTGTTAACGATGGAGTTTTGGTTCCTCTGGCTTGCTTAGTTGGGGACACTTAATATCCAGCAATATCATCGACTTGATTGCACAGATACTGTTTAAACTGAACCGAGCTGGACGATGACATCACTGAATTCAATAATGAAATGCCTTTAACTGAAAATTGAGTGTTTACTATTGTCCTTTTGCATTATTGACACAATCTGTATTGTAAAAAGCGCTATATAAATATAAGTGACTGACTTAATACGATATAAAAGTTTACACTTTAACACTATGAATGTTAGAGTTTAAGAATCCTTAGATCAATGTTTACTGTGAAACACACTGTTTGTGAATATTTGCTCAAAAGTACATGTTTATAATGTGCTTAAAAATAATTTTGTTTTTCAGATATAACATGCCATTGTTGTACTCTATGATAGTATATACAAAGCATGTGTACATCTATGACTGCAAAATCATGTTTTTTTAATATATATTAGTGACTGATAATGTAATAATATAGTTGCTCCTGATATCAACATGCTCAGAGATGGTTTTTAGTGACCACATACCTGGACCACAGATGAGTCCTGCTGACTTTCCCTCGAGTCTCTTCGAACTGTTTCTCTCTGTACTAACATCAGAAGCTACATTGGACTGATATTCTACATGAATATGATAAAATAAGGTCCATCACTGACTGCTGATGGTGGTGCTGTTTTTGCTTCAGTGAATGGAAAGAAGCAGCAAACTTGGAAATGCCAGGTATGGTTTATTTGTTTCAACGGTTGAATAAGAACTATTTCCAGGAATGGCGCAACGGTGTGTGACTGTTCATGTTTCTGTTTAGATCAGTGTGCTCAATAAGATGTCTTTGACCTTCATTATGTATATTTTAAATATACTGTGTAGCAAATAACACAAAATTTATTGTGAAAAAAGCTTTGTTTTCTCCAAAATACAATCTTGTACATACTTGCTGCTCACATACTATTGTAGAGCAGTTTGTGCTGAATACAGTGTAATCAGACTTTAGCCATTAAAGGCACAATATGTAAGTTTTCGCCACTAGAGGTCGCATTTTCAAAACAATAACAAAGGCAAAGCTTGATGACCCTATGAAGGAGGATGTTCACGGACGAGGTAATGATTTAATTTTTTATTACCTGTACCTTCCACAGTTATTCAAACAGCAAATAAATTATACAAAGAAAGCGAGCAAAGAAAATTTACATTGTCAAAGAACATTATGACTGACTTATGTCTAGTGCGAGTTTAAGGACTTAAAAAACTCCCCTTATAATCAGTAAAGCTGTCTGTACACGGTTTTATGAATGAATCTCTTACATCATACGTACATCTGCACTTTGTTGTTTATGATGAGAGAATTTGCGTGAGAGCTGAATTCAGTCGGTGAGCGCTTGCAGTGAACATAAAACTCATCTGAATGCCTCTTATTTGTCATTGCATTCATAAACTCAACAGACTCGTGTGTGTGATTGGTTATGATGCGCAACACTCTAAAACGCATAAAAAAATCATGGTGCAACATTGAGATCAAATTTCAAAGCAGATCTAAATTTAATGCTACGGAAATGTTCATTTCATTTTCATTTTATTCGCAACAGCCGTAATGGATGTAGTTTAATTGTACAGCTGCATTTTTGTCCATGTGTTGCCATAGTGTCTACAAGTGGAAACTGAGGATAGTGTGGATATTACGTCATTGATAGGCAACAATGACCAGGGACGAGTCATTATTTAAAATTGTAATTTCTCTGTATTTACAAATCCTTGGGAACTTTTGGGATAGCATAAGTATACAACTGCATGTAATATATCACACTGTGCGCACTGTACGAAAATCTTACATATTGTGCCTTTAATATGTTTATAAGAAACTGAAAAAGCACAAATGTCAAAAGGGCATGTAAAACTTCTCTTCTCTTCTCTCTCGGACCCCAGAGGGTTAACATAATTAGTTTTACATTTGTTTATAAAACGGATAGTTCCGGTGCTTGATTCTGATTGGCTGAGCCGCGTTCGAAGCTGTTGTAAATGACTCTACAAAGTAACATACACCTTTGTTTACGTTTGTCTGTTGCTCGGCAACCACTTTGTGGCAACCATAACTGTTTCTGAGGAGCTACATTGTTTGGTGGAAGAATACTGTTTTTATTAATATCATTACACTTTATTTGCTCTGTTTTATTTTGTGAAACCTTACTACATATATGGAATAACCGTTTTATAAAAGCAATAAGCCCCGTGAAGCCGTTGTTTACAGTGAATTTATAACAGCTCCGCTTTGCGTCGTACCTAACAACACCCCTTAGCTTGTTATAAATTCACTGTAAACCACGGCTTCTTGGGGCTTATTGCTTTAGTTTGCTGCATCTGTGTACACCACCATCAGACTGCAGAACACAGCCCCAATCTTCCAATTATCTAAAAATAATAAATGGTTTCTTTAGTGGTACACAACTTCTGAATCCAGCCTCTTGCAGCCGATTACGTACAGTTAAAGATCAATTGCAAGTTCGTAAAAATGGTATAGTTTTGCAGGTCTTTAGAAGCTGTTTTGAGGTGGTCCCACAAAACACAATTTTCCTAGGTTGGTCATCATTTTTGGCCACTACGTTATGTTAATAAGCTTAATTACAACTCTGTAGAGATGTCTGTAGGTATACCTTTTGGGCATTCCTCATAGATTGGCCATTTTTCCTCTCTCTGTTTTTCCTTTCCTCAGGCAATGCCCCAGTTTTGGCTGTGCGAGTTGGTCATTGACACACCTCATCTGAGTGCTGCCCTGTTGGGTTAAGTTGTGGCTGTTTGAATGCAGAAAGGATAAGTGATCCAGAGACCCTGCAGCTGTGTGCTTAGAAGAGTCAGGGGGTTGGCCTTGCCACTGGTTCCCACATGGGAGACCCTATTTCTGCAGGCCCCCACTCTGCAGGCCCTATTATAACTCCTAGCATTGGTAGTACGCTTAACCACCTTTCCTCTTCCATCTCTTTCTTTGTTAACTCTATTGTGTAGTACAAAGACACCAAACAAAAAGTAAAAAAGTTGATGACCCAGGTAGCTTAAGTCATTAATTAACAATCATCGCGTGCACGATGCGTACATCCTACATTATCCGCCGGAACGGCTTGCACGTATGACAGTCAGCAGAAGTGAGAAAAAAAATATTTATAACAACGCTGGCGTGGTTGTCTGCTGCTGCTCTCCGGTCTACTCTCCGGTGATCCCTGTTTTAATCTTTTGTCTCAGCTTGTTTTACCGCCCTGGACTGGACGATTTGGATTGAAACCATCTGATCTCTGTGAGTTTTGGCATCTTTGATTGGATGTTTAGCCTACCCCACTATCTGCTTTCCTGCTCGTCACTGAACGTTCGTGAGCCTTCGATCCCTCAATTACCCCCAGTTTTGCTGTGTATCCACCCATGGGTAAGTCTCCACTTTCTCGCTGGTCTGTTACCTGCTTTTATTTTTCGGGTTTTAAAGGTCTGGGGCATTTCTTTCCAGTTTGCTCCTTTCCTACCCAATTAGTTTTCTGGGTGTTTTTTTGTGGTGTTCAGGCTAACGTGTTCTCTAAAATGGTCGTGTGGGAGACGAAGTTGAAAGAATGATGCGCTGTTTTTGGCTGAATGTTTTTGCCCTGCTTGCCGGTTTTTACAGATTTTTTGTAGTGCATGGCATGTCAGTCTCACCTGTACCTTTGCCCGTCATAATACGTTTTCTACAATGGCTCCATGCTACTAATCTGAGGAGCTTCATCATTTGAACCTGCCATCACCTTTACAAGCTGGAATTTACAAAACTTGTGTTGAGTTGTGGATTGCTCTTCATCCACGCTATACTTATCGAAGCTTATGTCCAACTGTCAATTTCTCTCACACATCTGCTGACAACCTCATACCTCTTTTTGGTGTTCCTCTTGTGTTTCTCGTGCTAGTTCTGGTGCTGGAACTGGAGTTAACTTCTGTAACCTAAGACCTCTGGAATATTCTTCCACCCGTTCACCGTCTACTCACACGTCAGAACTGGCTCGGAACTCGGACTGCCCGGTCAAATTTGCAGTAATAAATGCTAGATCCCTGTCTAACAAATCTTTTATTTTTAATGACTTTTTAACTTTTCTTATTTGTAACAGAGACTTGGCTTAGCCCTGGTGACTATTCAGCTCTTAAAGAACTTGCTCCTCCAGACTGCCTGTTTTTTTAATTCTCCAAGAACCGTTGGCCGTGGAGGTGGATTAGCGACAATTTTCAAGTACTCTATTAAGTGCATTCTTCTGCCTGATGAAAACTTTCTAAGCTTTGAGGTGCAGATCTTAAAGTTTGATCTCCCTACCCCCTTGCTCTGTGCCCTGGCATACAGACCACCTAATTTTAATAAGGATTTCATTCAAGAATTTTCTAACCTTCTGGCCTCCCTGATGCCACATTATGACAGTATTCTGGTCCTGGGTGACTTTAATATTCATGTCTGCTGCCAGTCTAAAACTTTGGTCAAAGAGTTTTTATGTCTCATGGACTCTCTTAATTTTGAACAGTTTGTTTCTGGTCCCACACACCAGAAGGGTCACACCCTGGACTTGGTGTTCTCACGTGGTTTTTCAGTGACTAACCTTGAAAGTTTTGACACTGTTATCTCTGATCATTATCCAGTCGTTTTTGACTCTTTGTTAGCTGGTACTCACTCCAGACAATATCACTCACAACGTCTTTTTAGACGTTTTGATTCTTCTACTGCTAGATCTTTCAGTGATGTCTATTTATCTTCCCAAACACCTATTGTTGGTAAAACCCTTTCCTCCTGTGTTCATCCTGATGTTCGGGTGTTCTTTTTGATAGTACCTGCACTGCTACATTAGACTCAATTGCTACTCTGAGGTTACAAAATCCAGTATGGTGAAAAAAGTGCAGCCCTGGTTAAATGGGCCCACTCGCATCGTCAGACAAGAGTGCAGGCGTGCTGAACACAGGTGAAGGAAGGACAAACTTCACATATCATATGAAATTTTCAGGGAGTGTCTTAAGCAGTATCAGAATGCTGTTAGGGAGGCACAGTTAAAATATATGTCTGATTTAATTGCACAAAATTCTCAGAGGCCAAAGGTTCTTTTTAGCACAATTAATGCCCTTGTAAAGCCCTCTTCTAGTGTTCCATCTGAAGTTTCTACTGACCTGTGTGAACAGTTTTTAACACATTTTATCCATAAAATTGAGGATATTCGCTCCAACATTTCATCTCAGAGTTCTTCATTCCTAGAAATGCCTCCCTGTGACAGTGCTCTCTCGTTTTTTCAACCTGTGTCGCCCTCACAGCTTCATGATATTGTTTCTAGTATGAAATCCTCTGTTTGCCCTTCTGATGTTTTGCCTTCACATATTTTTAAAGAGGTTTTTCCAGCTCTAAGTCCAGTTGTGACCTCCATTGTTAATAGTTTGTTAGTCAATGGGGTGCTACTACCAACTTTAAACATGCTACAGTACAGCTGTTGTTAGAAAAAAACCCTCATTTAGATCTGCATGACATGAATAACTGTAGACCCATTTCTAAATTGTCTTTTATTTCTAAAGTTTTGGAAAAAGTTGTTTACTCTCAGATCTCTTCATACCTGGGTGCTTTTAGTATTTTTGACACATTTCAGTCTGCCTTCAGGGAGCTAAACAGTGAATCTGCTTTGTTGAAGGTTTTTAATGACATCTTACTTACTCTGGATGCAGGTTCTGGCTGTATTTTAGTCTTGCTTGATTTAAGTGCAGCTTTTGACACTGTAGATCACGATATCCTTTTACACAGACTAGAACATGCAGCTGGGCTTCGGGGCCCTGTGCTGGAGTGGTTTGCCTTTTACCTCAAAGGGAGAACATTTTCTGGTAGAGTAGGGAATTGTTTTTCATCCCATGCTCCAATCCCTTTTGGTGCACCCCAGGGTTCCATTTTGGGTCCTCTTCTGTTTGCATTATATATGCTTACACTTGGTCATATTATTCAGAGACACAATTTATCAAACCACTTTTATGACGTTGACACTCAGCTCTACGTTCCTATCAAAAACAATAACGGTTCTGTGTCTGTCCTGTTTGACTGTCCGTCTGACATAAAATTTTGGATGGACATGAACTTATTACAGCTAAACAACAACAAAACTGAAATTGTTATCTTCGCCCCATCAGATATGACCTCTGACATAGTCAATCAGCTTGGTTCTCTATCTTCAAATGTTCATGATTGTGTCAAAAATATTGGTGTCATTTTTTATTCCAATTTAAGTTTTGATAAACTGCTTTTAACAATAGCACTAATCTGCCAAAATGTATTGCCAAAATCAAGATAATGCTCTCTAAGAAAGACCTTGAAACTGTTATTCATGCATTTATTACTTCAAAGTTGGACTACTGTAATTCTTTATACCTGGGTTTGCCTAATTCTACTGTAAAACTTCTTAAGAAACACACTTTTAACACAACTCTTTTAGAGAACTACAGACCGGTTTCCCTTCTACCTTTCATTGCAAAAACACTTGAACGAGTTGTGTTCAACCAAGTCTCAGCCTTTCTCACACAGAACAACCTCCTGGACAGCAACCAATCTGGCTTCAGAAGTGGACATTCGACCGAGACTGCCTTGCTTTCAGTTGTTGAAGCCCTAAGACTGGCAAGAGCAGCCTCCAAATCTTCTGTACTTATTTTGCTGGATCTGTCTGCTGGTTGACAGGAGTGGTTAGGAGTTGACACTCCAGTGGTTTGTAAAGTGACGTGACATGTGGCCAAGTATGGTGACCCATACTAGGAATTAGTGCTCTGCATTTATCCCATCCTAAGTGCACACACACAGCAGTGAACACACACACACCGTGAACACATTAGCACACAACCGGAGCAGTGGGCAGCCATTTTATGCTGCGGCGCCCGGGGAGCAGTTGGGGGTTCAGTGCCTTGCTCAAGGGCAGTTTGCAAATGGTTCAAAACATAGCAGCCAGGCTACTGACTGGCACTAAAAAGTATCAGCACATTACTGCAGTGCTTGCCTCTCTCCACTGGCTACAGGTTAATTCCCAGATTGATTTTAAAGGGGTCATATGATGCGATTTCAATTTTTCCTTTACTGCTTTTTGTTTTTAAAGCTTAACATGGACTTGTTCCTCAGTATATCAATGATCTTCTTGTCCCGTACAATGCCTCAAGATCCTTACGCTCATCCAATCAATTTTTTCTTTCTGTTCCTTGCGCATGTTATAAAACTAAAGGTGACTGGGCTTTCTCGGTGGCTGCTCCTAGACTCTGGAAAAATCTCCCTCTCAATATTAGATCTTCTCCTGTGTCTACTTTTAAATCCACCTCAAAAACTTATTTGTATTCTTTATGTTTTAATTGAGGGTGTAAATTCTTCATTTGTCCTCTTGGTGTTGATCCAGTATGTTTATTCTGTTTTAATTTTGTTCTTAAATTGTACAGCACTTTGGTTGCAACTTTTGTTGTTTTGAAATGTGCATTATAAATCAATAAACTAAACATATTATTATATTATATTATTGTTTTAGGTTTGGGCTATTTTGCTACAGCCATAAATATATAACTTTTAAAAATAATGTTACAGGTAAACAGTTTAAAAACAAATACATTTTTACAGAGGCGGACAGTAACTAAGTACATTTACTTGAGTATTGTACTTAAGTACACTTTTTGAGTATCTGTACTTTACTTGAGTATTATTTTTTCTGGGAACTTATGACTTTAACTTCACTACATTTGAAAGACTCTGTATTTACAGGATTTCACTGTCCACTCTGTTCAAATGTGGATGAATGGCTACACATAGATGTGTGCACACTGTCAGAGCTGTGTGAGATCACTACCATACTGCGGGTGGGTAGGGGTGTTAATTTCTTTTCCCCCTTAGGTTTTTAACATTCTAAAAGCTGTTTATTCCAAAGATACTACAAGCTAGTCAGTGTATTCAGTAGGAGTAATGTATCGTAAGTTGCTTCAGAAGTATTGCAAGCATTACGTACAACAATAAAACAGTGCATTGACATGAAAAAGGAAATTTACTTTTGGTACTTAAGTACTTTAAAAAGCAAGTACTTCTGTACTTTTACTTGAGTAAAAATCTGTCTTTACAACTTTTACTTGTAATGGAGTAATATTTGACCAGCAGTATCTGTACTTTCACTCAAGTAATGGAGTTGAGTACTTTGTCCGCCTCTGCATTTTTATAAAGATCACCTTTAATGATCTTCATAAATTTGAATGAAAGTTACTCAAGTTGACTGATATCACAAAGAAATGAGATAACAAAAGGAAAAACAAGGTAAAAAGTTTACCTTTCAGTCCAATCTGATTATTTTTGTATCCAACTGGAATCTGATCTAAATGACTGACTGTCCACACATCGCATCACTTTGTGTGTCTAGTTGTGCTTTCTGGAATAATGGCATTGATTTTTTTATGGCAATGGCATTGCTGGTAGGCATCCAAACAGATGACATTTGGATTTGGACCGACATATTGAAAAAGGCTAATTTATCTCCTCTAGAAGAAAGATCTCAGGAAAAAGATTTTCAGAGATATAAGTCATTTGTAAGTGCTGTCTCTTTAAGAAAAGAAAATTATCAGATCTGACTGATGATTATATAGCACAACACTTGACATTAGCTGACAGAATTGCAGTCAACTGCTCATTCTTCTGTCATGAACTGTTTCTCTGTGAGTCTCTGTCACAGCAGGATCTGCTCAAGTCCACTATGATCCTGTTCTTCTAGATCTCTGTTACCTGCAGGAACTGGATGTGATCCTGTGTGTGTGAAAGCTGCTCCAGCTCAGCGTCTCTCCTCCTCAGATCATTGATCTCCTGCTCCAGTCGCTCCAGTCGTCCTTCAGCTCGACTCACTGCAGCCTTCTCCTGATCTCTGATCCACTGTGTCACCTCAGAGCGGCGTCTCTCAATGGAGTGGATGAGCTCAGTAAAGATCCTCTCACTGTCCTCCACTGCTGTCTGTGCAGAGCGCTGTTAGGACACACAGTGATTCAGGCTTCAGTGAGTCTGAACTGAGACGGAGACAAACTTCTCTTCTTCTCCAGACTCACCTTATGAGACTCCACAGCCTCTCTCAGCTGCTTAAGATCTTTCTCTCTCTGCTGGATTCTCTGCTGGAACGTCTTTTTCATCTCTTTCAGCTGGTGCTGGAGGACAAACGGATGATAGTAAATCTCACAGAAAACTACTACCACAAAGTCCTCAAGTGAACAGTTGATATGACTCCAATATCAGTGAAGTTGTGAGACTAATGAGTCTAAAATCTAACGTGGTAAGGTTATAGGTTCAATCATAAGTGCCAGCATTATTTTGTCAATGCCTAGTTTTAGAGGGATAGTTCACCCAAAAAGTTTAATTCTGTCATCATTTACTCAATTTAATGTCATTCCGAACAAATCAAATATGCCGACATGACAAAAACATCAGAGCCAGGTTGCATGAAAGTCCTTAAGCTAAGAAATCCCTTAGTTATAAGGTTAAGGGAACCCTTAGTGAAACTTGGGTTGCAAGAAAAATCCTAAGGGTCAACTTAAGGAACCTTAAGGCTGTCATTAAGTATTCCCCTTAATTATCTAAGTGTTCCCTCAAGCGTTGCTACAAAGTCCTTAGTAACTATTTCACCTTGATAAATTTAAGGGACCAAAACAGCTCGCTTAAGTCATCTTAAACTCAGTATCTGCAGGATTTTTAAGCTCAAATGTAAGACTTAAGACATTTTTTGAGACCTGCACAAATAAAATATCATATGAGCGTAGTAGGGCAATGACTATGGTAACTTATTAAACTGTAAAATGACTGTAAAAAGCATGACTTACAGGTTTTTACAAAACAAAAGGTTTTATATAATTTTTTAAGAAAACGGATGAGTTGAATCAATTATTATATTAAATTAAACAATTATTATTAATCATTACATTAATTAAATAATAATACAAATGTAATGTGTCTTAATTGTTTAGATATTTATGATGCATTATCGTCTTGTCGATCCACCTGTTCACATTTACAACTCTTGTGTGTTTGCAGCATCAAAACATGGGTTAATTTTCACATTTGGTAAATTTTCCTTCATTGGTCAGCAGGAGGCGCTTTCACTTTAGAAAAAAGAGGTTTCCTCGGTAATGACTATACACAAAGCAGTGCAGAAACAGGCAGCGCTCGTTTATTTGTTCGTGTTTTAGTTGGTTAGGTTTGTATTTGGTTATGTTCTGTTAATTGTGAGACGTAGTAACTATAGCAACCGCGGCACCCATTGCCGTATGTTGCCAGGAACTACCGTGAAACGCTTAGTATAAACACTTAGGTAAGGGTGACAGTTAAGATGTTTGTTGCAACACTCTTAAAGAAATCCCCTACCTTAGGGATTTTTTCCCCCTCAGGAATACCCCCAAGTCAAATTACTTAAGGACTTTCATGCAACCGGGCCCAGACCTCACTGGCTCATGCATTTCACAATGCCAACATATTTGGTTTAGGTTCTGTATACATTGACTGATAAAATAATTGATTTGATTTGAGAGTGAATTATGACTTAAATTTCACTCTGTTCATTATACAAAGTAATTGTGATGCTTCAGAAGACATGGCTTAAACCCCTGGAATTGTATGGTTTACTTTTATGCTATCTTATTTGAAGTATTAAAGCTTTTGAAGCCCACTGCTGTTCAGTGTATAGATAGAAGAGACAATCTTCAAAATACTTTACCTTTTGTTCCTCAGAAAATATAAAGTCATAAAAGATTGGCACAACACAAAGAAAGGTAAATTATGCAGAATGTCACTTTTTTGGTGAACTATTGCTTTAAGTTCATACCTGATTCTCTGTCCTCTGTGCTGCAGCTGATACAATGTTGTGGTTTTTATGTTCATCCATCATACACTGCACACATATACATTTCTGGTCAGTACAACAAAAAAACTGAAGGAGCTTCTCATGTTTCTGGCAGATCATCTCCTGCAGTCGTCCAGTGGCTTCAGTCAAATTGTGTCTCTTTCCTTTAAACAAACTCTCATGTTGTTGAAGGTGATTCTGACAGTAAGAGTTCTGACACACCAGACAGGACTTGACGGCTTTGTATTTTATTCCAGTACAGACGTCACACTGCACTTCTCCAGCTCCAGCGTAACAGTCAGCAGTAAGTTTGGTCTTCTTCAGTTTCTCCACCACTTCAGCCAGCATGGTGTTTCTAGCTAAAGCAGGTCTTGGACTGAAGGTCTGTCTGCACTGAGGGCAGCTGTAGACTCTCTTCTCATCCGCCTGATCCCAGCAGTCTGTAATACAGCTCTTCCAGTAACTGTGTCCACATTGGATGGTCACTGGATCCTTCAGGAGATCCAGACACACTGGACACACCGTAATGCTGCCTTCTGCCATGTTACTGCATGAATACAGACACACAAACACAGAACAACCAAACAACATTTCAGTTTCTTTTTCCCTGTACTGAAGAGGTTTGTATTTTGTTCTTCTGTGTTTGAGTGATGAGTGTACAACAAATTTGTCAGCAAGTCTTTAGTTGTTTCAATGCAATTTTTTAAGCTGACACAACTTGTAGTTCCCTTTCAATCGGTCACTTTCGATGTCACGTCGATATCAACGAATTGGGAATCTTGCTAGAGAGAACAATCTACTTTAAGTGTAAACTAAACGAGCCAACGCACATTGGTATGCAGTAATTGCATCCAGCTGCCGCTGATCACAGCGCTGGTATAAATAGGAAGCAGGTGTAACGCATACTCAGTTTTTCGCTTAGGTGCCGAGCGATATCAGTCGTTCTATCAGTCGTACCAAGCTTCAATTGTGAACGACGAGTTCAGCACTCTCCAAAGGAGCTTCTTCGTTTTGGTGGTACGGCGCTACAGCGGTGGTCAGCCATCCCCCCTGTGCGCTTCAGCACGCTAAAAGAGCCTTTTTCCCTAAAAGAGCATTCACAGGTGGGTGCGTCTTTTCAAAGACGACATTGCGTCTTGCAAACTCGACATTGCGTCTTTGTAAAGATGTTTCATCTTGGTATAGATGCCGTTCCACCCATGCGTTTCTCGATGCGGTCGTTACCTGGTGCCAGATGATAGTCACGATCACTGCCTCACGTGTCTGGGCATTAAAGGGGTCATATGATGCGATTTCAAGTTTTCCTTTCTCTTTGGAGTGTTACAAGCTCTTGGTGCATAAAGAAGATCTGTAAAGTTGCAAAGACTAAAGTCTCAAATCCAAAGAGATATTCTTTATAAAAGTTAAGAGTCAGCCACGCCTACCTAAAACGGCTCGTTCTAACACGCCCCCACATATCTACGTCACTATGTGGAAATATTAGCATAATGCCGCCCAAATGTGCACGCAAAGAAAGAAGGCGTGGTTTCAGAAACAGCAGTAGTGTTGATGCAGCATGTCAGGGAGACGCTGTGTTTCTGTGCGAAAGCAAAAGCACTTTATTTGGCCTTCCGGAAGTAGATGCAATTAGGAATCATTGGTTAAGATTTATTTACAACAGAACAGCACAACCCAGATGTTCCAATTTGTGCAACGCATTTTATGGACGACAGTTTTTTTAACCTAGAAGAGTACAAGGCTGGCTGTGCACAAAGGCTATTTCTAAAAAAAAAAAAAAGTGTCAATTCCTACTTTGCTATGACAATCTGACGCTTCTGGTTCTGAATCAGCGACTGTAAGTATGTTTTGTTACTAGTTTAAGTATTTGCTATTGAATGTTCAAATGCGGAGTTTTGCGCAGCGCAGAGTAACGCGTCATCTATGTGTGTGTGTGTGTGTGAGAGGGGAACAGGATCACATCACAAGAGCGTGAACTGTCTGTCAGAAATCATAGCACGTCAGCTGTCTTAACCGTGGCTTGTGTACTGCATCATCACTGTGTCTGTCACGCGACTCTGTTGCCCTTTCGGGCTTGAACTGATGGTAAAACTAACGACATTATTAACTGTCTTGATATTTACTTTGAAAGCTGAAGCGATTATGGTAAGGGGTGTTACATTTCCGACGCGGCGCTTGTCAGAGGAAGGGGCTTTGTTGAAAACTACGTGTTTGAGAGAGGCGGGGCATAGAGGACCTACAGTAATGTACAGTATTTGAAAAATAATGTGTTTTTTGAAAATTAAAGCATGTCAACATATTCCGTTACACCAAATACACAAAATAATGATCTTTAAAATAGCATCATATGACCCCTTTAAACACGCTGAGGTGGCGTTCATGGATGAGTCATGTTCTCATTGCGGAAAGATGACCATCTCGGAGTTGCGGACCAGGCTCCATTACCTCAAAAGGGGTGGAGTTCCGGAGCCGCTACCTTGATCTAGTGCTCTTCCTGGTAGAAGTCAGGGGAGGACTACTTCAGGCAGTAGCTCAGGCGGTCTGAGGGTCACAGTGATGCTACCCTTCCGAGGAACCAACCTCCCTGGGACCCTCACTGCTCTAGCACTCCGCAACCCGTTGAGCTGCCCAAGGAACGGGCTGGGTCCTCTAAAAGGAGCGTACCAGAAGTATCCTTTGGGGCTCCGCCCGACGATCGGATGTCGATCGCTGCATCAGAGGGCGAGCCAGAGCTCTCTGGAGAGTAAGGTTTCTTGAATTGGATCCAGAGATGACGGCTATGCTTGCCCGGGCTACTGAGAGGGTAGGGCTCGAGTGGAAACCTCCACCGTGTCCCAAGCCCTCGAGGTTGGATGATAGGTTTCTCTGGGTGGCTCGCACTGATTCTCAGCACCCTGCCCTGGTGCCATTCTTCCCGGAGGAGCATGAGGAGCTCACCAGGTCGTGGACAGCTTTTACCATCAGAAACTGGCTTGCTAGCTCCTCCTTCCTCACCACTCTCAACAGTGTTGCAGCTAGAGGGTATATGGAGGTCCCCCCCATGGAGCGGTCGGTAGCGAAGCAGTTGTGTTCTAATACCGCTTCCACCTGGCAGGGCAAACCGTGCCTTCCTTTCTGGGCCTGTAAGCATTCGTCTGGTCTGACTAGCAGTGCTTACGCGGCCTATGAAGAGGCGGCCTTGGCCTTACACGCTATGGTGCTGCTGCAGGTCCACCAGGCTAAAGCACTGAAGGACCTGCATGAGGGTGGTCATGATCTGGAGGTTCTGAAAGAGCTCAGAACCGCAACTGACCTCGCACTTAGAGCGACGAAGGTCACTGCAAGTTCTCTGGGTTGTGCGATGTCCACGCTTGTGGTCCAGGAGCGCCATCTCTGGCTGTGTCTGGCCGACATGAGGGACGCTGACAAAGTTTGGTTCCTCAACGCGCCGTTTCCAATACCGGCCACTTCGGCGATGCAGTCTAGAACTTCTCGGCTGTTCTCGGCTGCACAGAAGCAGACAGAGGTGACCCAGAGGTGGAGGGAGCTGCTCTTCGGGAGATGGTGAACACACCACTTCCTCCTCTGGAGGAGGGCCAGGTGGAGAATCCTTGGTTTTGTTTTGTCCTGCTGCCGGCCTCATGGTCAGTGGTATCCAAAAACTCGACAAAAGAGCAGTCTCCTCTATCTCTGGGTCCTAAGAGGGCATGGAGAGTTGTGGACGGTCCAGACCCGGGTCACCTCTGTTGCCAGCAGGCAGCACTGGGTGATTCGAGAGCGGTATTAAAGGCTCTACTCACGCACCCTCTGCCCAACCGTGGAAGCAGGTAAGTGTTGCACTGCACACTCAGACCCTGCTTCGGTCAGCCCACAAGAAACGCATCTTTGGATTAATACGTCCACGAGATTGGTTTGCAGTGATCGACTTAAAGGATGCGTACTGTTATGTCTCGATCCCCTTGTGCCACACACCATTTCTGCGGTTTGCGTTCGAAGGACGGGGCATATCAGTACAAGGTCCTGCCCTTAGGGCTGTCCCTTTCCCCCGTGTCTTCACAAAAGTTATGGAGGGGGCTCTTGTTCCCCTGAGAGAGCAAGGTGTTCGCATCTTCAACTATCTTGACGACTGGCTCATACTAGCACAGTCTTGGGAGTGGTTGTGTGAGCACAGAGACCTGGTGCTCTCAGACAGTTGGGTCTTTGGGTCCACTGGGAAAAGAGCAAACTCTCCCCGACACAGAGGATCTCTTTTCTCGGGATGGAGTGGATTCCACTTCAGCACTGGATCCATGGCCGAGCACCGAGGTTTCTGCGTTTCTTCGGGCAGGAGTGGCCCTGGAGCAGGTCTCCAGGCATGCTGTGGTACATATGGATGCCTCCACCACCGGCTGGGGTGCCACGTACAATGGGAAAGCAGTCTCAGAGGAGTGGACGGGCCCCCAACTGCAGTGACATATCAATTGCCTAGAGTTGTCAGCAGTGTGCCTTGCCTAGAGCAAAGAGCGCTTACGAGGCAAGCATGTACTGGTCCGTACGGACAACACTGCGACCGTTGCATACATCAACCGACAAGGTGGTCTGCATATTCTAGGTTTGCTCAACCAACAAGCTGTCACGAGCTGTGCTCCCTGGAGAGTGGAGACTCCATCCCCAGATGGTCCAGCTGATTTGGAGACATTTCAGAGCTGGTCAGGTAGACCTGTTTGCCTCGCCAGAATCCTCTCACTGCCAGCTGTTTTACTCCCTGGCCAAGGGAACACTCGGCACGGATGCACTGGCACACAGCTGGCCGCAGAGCCTGCGCAAATATGCGTTTCCCCCAGTGAGCCTTCTCACACAGACACTGTGCAAAGTCAGGGATGATGAGGAGCAGGTTTCGCTCATTGCGCCCTAATGGCCCAACCAGACTTGGTTCTCAGAACTGATGCTACTTGTGACAGCCCCCCCTGGATGGGGCACCCTGTGGCACCAACGTCTGGATCTCTGGGAACTCCATGTCTGGTCCCTGGACGGGACATGGAGGTTCTAGGTGACCTACTCCAAAAGGTAGCGGACACCATCACTTCGGCGTGAGTACCGTCTATGAGACACGCTTACGCCTTGAAGTGAAACCTGTTCATTGAGTGGTGTTCCTCTCACCAAAAGGACCCCCGGAGATGCCCGATCAGAGCCATGCTTTCCTTTGTGCAGCAAGATTTGGAGCGAAGGCTGTCTCTCTCCACCCTTAAAGTCTATGTTGCTGCTATTTCCACTGATCACGACCCCGTGGAGGGGAAGACGGTAGGGAAGCACAACCTGGCCATCAGGTTCCTTAGGGGGGCGAGAAGGTTGAACCCTCATCGTCCTCCCTCTATACCCTCTTGGGACCTGAGTCTGGTGCTCAGATCACTCCAGCAGGGCCCATTTGAGCTTTTGCAGTTAGTTGAGATGAAGTTTCTTTCAATGAAAACCTGCATGCATTTTCGGTCGACGAATTGTGCCTAGAGTTTGGGCCGACTGACTCTCAGGTAACTCTAAGACTCGGCCTAGCTATGTGCCCAAGGTTCCTACTACTCCCTTCAGGGATC